TAAACGTTGTCAGACTTTCAAATTCGTGGGAAATGATTGTTCACTAAAAAAGACTGCATACCCTGGGTATATCAATTGGAGCAGTGAGAAAAGAAAACAGAGCGTGAGTCACCAGAACAGAATTCGAGTTGTTAGCCTAAAAACACTTGGAGACATACTCAGGAGGAGATCGGAGCACTTATGGTCAGGTCCGATGTGCGATGAAGGTGACCTTTAAATGAACAGTGAACAATATAACTTTTTCATCAACTGCGCCAAACGAATGAAAATGGTCCCGATTTTACAGCACTAAATATTGTTAATGTGTGCTTCGTTAATGTTCAGTTTATTCCCTTCGTGAAGCTACTTGAAAGTTTACTATCCATACATTCACCCATGCATTCTTCCACCAATACATCCATCCATTTATGCGAACAGTATCGGTTTTAATTTGGTCTAGTACTTCTGTGCCAATTATTTTGGCTAACAAATGTTAACTGCGCCAAAGCTATTGGCTTGGACTTTGCACTCTAGTGCCCACTAATGGTTGATCATCATCACCATCATCATCAATTTGAATTGGCCAAGTTCAACCGCTCCCTAGGCAGCTAACCTCTCCTAGATAGCATTAGTTTTAATTGTAGCTCCTGTTCACGCCCTAATTTCATTGTGCGTTTCCCAGTGTTGTAGCTCCCATGTTTGTTGGGCTAGGTTTTCTTCGTATTTTTTTTTTTTTTTGGTATGGCCGTCATCTTAGTGCTGAAAAGTTTTTTTGTTTTTTTTTCGACTTTTAATTTCCCCCTTCCATGATTGAAATATGTAGGGTTAACATCTCAATGATAAAAAGAATCAAACAGTTACAAATCCTGAAAATTCCGTTCCACCTCAAAGCACAATCGAATCGGGGCACCAAGAATGGGTGGGTTTGACATTATTGTCAACATGTTTTTTTTTTTTTTAAATAGTTTTTACCTATATGATTGCAGTCTGTAGAATTACAATTTTAAGGATAAAGATCAATCAGGTGCCCATTCCAAAAACTTATTTCAGAAGTGTAGCAATCTTGGGGCCTCACAGAACGGTTACCAAGTAACATATTGTGCAGTTCCATTGGATCTACGTCACACTGGTGCTGGATGTTGAAAAAAAAAAAAAAAACCGCACAAAACAAAACATTGCCGACAATTTGTTATGTTTAATTAAATTCACACATAAACACGGTGAGGCAAAGTCATTATTCCAGACAAGATGTTTAATTTATTGTTAAGAACCTCAAACTGATTGCATGTTTTGTACTTTGCTTCAGGGAGGAAAATGTTTACCAAAACAAACATTACATAGACAGTTACCGACCCAGGATAAAGCGGGTGAAAATGTTAGGTAATAACCAATTTACATTTTATGTAAATCTTTCCATAAACAGATCAGTGTCACCTGCCAGGTCGCGACCTGTGAGGAAAAAAAAAGTGGTTTAAAATGTTTAAGTACAGAATTCTGTTTCTAAAATCGTACACATTCTATGCTAGTGTTGTTTAGTTTAGGTCATTTCGGACGGCGCGAAAGATAAGGGATATAGCTCCTAGGGTCCTATCGGTGACCATGACATTGTAGAGTTTCTGTGTCTCTCCTGTTGATTCTCTCTCTCTCTCTCTCCTCTCATATCCCCATATATGTCTGTCTGTCTGTCTGTCTGTCTGTCTCTGTTTCTGTCTGTCTCTGTTTCTGTCTGTCTCTGTTTCTGTCTGTCTATGTTTCTGTCTGTTTCTGTCTGTATCTGTTTCTGTCTGTCGTTGTTTCTGTCTGTTTCTGTTTCTGTCTGTTTCTGTTTCTGTCTGTCTCTGTTTCTGTCTGTCTCTGTTTCTGTCTGTCTCTGTTTCTGTCTGTTTCTGTGTCTGTCTGTCTGTCTGTCTGTCTGCCTGCCTGGATGGATGGATGGATGGATGGATGGATGGATGGATGTATGTATGTATGTATGTATGTATGTATGTATGTATGTATGTATGTATGTATGTATGTATGTATGTATGTATGTATGTATGTATGTGTAATTACTATGAAAAACTAATCAAAGACTTCGACTCACAGCAGCACAAGATTTTCAAAAGGCAGGGAGCGACAAACATCCCACAAAAACAGACTCCAGCATAATAATCACATGCAAACTAAAACTAGATATGTAGTATGTTCCCTCTAGGAAGGCAAACTAAAACTAGATATGTAGTATGTTCCCTCTAGGAAGGCAAACTAAAACTAGATATGTAGTATGTTCCCTCTAGGAAGGCAAACTAAAACTAGATATGTAGTATGTTCCCTCTAGGAAGGCAAACTAAAACTAGATATGTATTATGTTCCCTCTAGGAAGGCAAACTAAAACTAGATATGTAGTATGTTCCCTTTAGGAAGGCAAACTAAAACTAGATATGTATTATGTTCCCTCTAGGAAGGCAAACTAAAACTAGATATGTAGTATGTTCCCTCTAGGAAGGCAAACTAAAACTAGATATGTAGTATGTTCCCTCTAGGAAGGCAAACTAAAACTAGATATGTAGTATGTTCCCTCTAGGAAGGCAAACTAAAACTAGATATGTAGTATGTTCCCTCTAGGATTGCAAACAGTAAGATTAACACCTCAAAGATGAGAAATAGACAGGAACAAATGCCGAGGCCCCTTATAACCACATATCATTTACACTGGGGCCGCTGAATCCTATGCTTACAGTTTGAAGACGGAATGGCATAGTTACCCAGTGGCGCTTTGCTACACATAGAGAAAAAAAAACGTATAGCTAGCTACTAGAAGTAATATAATTTTGTTATAACTTTGTCACTCAAATTTTAGTAATTTACTCAGTGAAATTGTTCAAATTACATGGAATTATACCCTGAGGGTTCAACCAATCAATTGGCAGTTCTTTTGAATCTTTGTTTGTTTAAATGTACAGGCTTTCCAGTTAACTATCAAAAATACGTCATCAGATAACCATGCATTTCTTTTTTTATTATTATTATTATTTGGAGCAGGAAAGCGCCATCGTATAACTATGCGTGTCATTATTATTATTTTGAACAGGAAATTGTTATCGGGTAACTGCGTTTTTTTTTTTGGGGGGGGGGGGGGGAGGGGGAGGGAGGGCAGCAATGAACCTCAAGGATTGCGTATTGTTGGGTCAGCAGTTGCTGTTGACTGTCTGATCAGCTCCCTCAACCCTTAACAGTTACAGCCGATGGACTTCATGGCTGCTCAGTTCTGTTCAGTTAGTCAAGTTCTGTTCAGTCAGTCAAGTTCTGCATCCACGTCTTTCTTGGTCTGCCCTAATAAGCATAATTTTAAAAAAACCCAGTTAAATCCGCATTTTGAGGGCATGTGCTAGATACTGTAGACTAGACTACTCACGTGAGCTGTTGTTAACACAACCATATTCAGGATTCGCAGCGATAACCCTGTCCAAAATCTCGTAAGAGACTTCTCCTGCAGGTTCTCCACAGTGTTCCGTGACCACTTTCTTAGTGCACTTTTGCTGAATTCTACTTTCTCTGAGGAAAAAAAAAAAAGTGTTAAAGGCACTAGATGCCAGTGCGATTTTAAATGCAATTTCTGGCGCTGAGTCCCCTAGAGATTTCCTCTTACTTATTATGTATGTAAAGCTGTGAAAACGTTTTCAAGAATGTGATCGTTCAAGTTTGATGTCGTCTGAACTATTGGTAAGATCATTATTTCTTGTTTTTGCGGTGTTCATTCGGAGTCCGATTTGTCCTGAAACATTTTGGAGATGGTTTGTTTTCTCTCGGATATCTGCGTGTGTAGAACTCAAAAGAAAAGAACTATGTCAGCAGCAAAGTCAATGTCTTCTAGGATTGTAAGCCGTTTGATACCCATATGTGTGTTATTTATGCATTTACACATGACCAAATTGACAGATTTTTCGAAGAGCATCGGCGATAGGACACAGTCCTGTTTTACTCCTGTTTCTACGTATCACCCGCCTCCATTCGTCTCTCTGATTAGCCTTCTCTTTCCAGTTGGTAACACTAAGTGTTTGCAGGTCTGTCTGGATATATTATCTCTCCATCGTCTTCTTGGTCTCCCTCGTGGTCTACGACTATTCAACTCCCAGGTGTATACAGTTTTTACTTCTCTGTCCTGTGGCATTCTTTCAATATGCCCCATTTCAGAATGATTTTATGACATTGAAAAATTTGGTAGGGAAACCATTCATTGTAAATAGTTTCCAAAGTGTAGAATGGTTGATTTTGTCAAAAGCTTTTTTAAAAGTTGAATAAGTTAATGATTAACTGCTACTGAAATTCTACGGATTCTTCAGTGATTACTTTAAGGGTGACCATGTGGTCTACGCATGACCGTTTTGGTGTGAAGCCTGCTTGTTCTTCTCACAGTCTTTCATCTACAGACTTGTTTAATCTCTCAGGGAACATGCTACATAAACGTTTACCAGGCACTGACAGCAGGGCGACACCACGCCAGGTATTATAATCATACAGGTCACCCTTTTCAGACAGTTTGAAAATTATACCATCTTTCCACTGTTGTGGTGGGGAATTCGTTTTGCCAGATTTAGTTAATCTGATCTAGCAAAGACTGTAAGGTATTCTCATCTGCTTCTTTAAGCATTTCTCCTGAGATGTCGTCACCACCAACAGCTTTGTTGTTTCTCAAATTTCAAACTGGGAATTGGCTGCAGTTATTTAATACCTCTTCCAAAACCAGGCAAACGGTTATTCGAGACTCATCGGTTTCAAGATTATCAATCTTCAAAATACTTTTGGCAAGGAAACCCCCAACTAGACGACTATTACGGCACACTTGTATTCATCCCATAATGGGGCCTCGAATCCCACACAGGGAGCTTTTTCAATTGCAAATGTTTGAGATTTACAACCTAATGTTAAATCTGGATCTATGCAGCATGTAAGAATTCTGTTTCTATCATTAAAAAGCAACGCTCTTTGCACAAGAATCGTTTTAAAAAGGAAATAAGTTGTTAAAATATTAGCTGACTTACTGACATGGAGTAGGTGCAGTAGGTGTGTCAAAGTAAGCTTCCATAGTGCAGTGGAATATAATGTTCTGAATTCTGTCCGTTCTGATATAGCCATTGATACACGGCGAGGTTAGCTTGATATCTCTCATCACTAGGAATGTAAACAACACAAATGAAAGTACACGTACACCCCCCCCCCTTTCTCACCCTCGCCCAAATGACTATATAACATCACAGAAACACACGTACTGCACAGACAGGTTGTGATTGTAAAAGACTGACGCAGTTAGAGAAAGACATGCTCCGTGCAGAGTGACAAACATCGTTTCAGGGATCCCCTGTAGTGATCAACCTTGGGATCTTTCTTCAAACTATGTATGTTCGTGGGGAAACGAGCAGGCAGTCAGACTGGCTGGTGTTGCACCACTGGGGGTTGAGCTGATGCATGATGGGCTAGATGTGGTCAAGATCTTTTGGGAGCAAGGGAGTAAGAACAGATCCTTCAGGTGTGGTGAGAATGGCGTCGCGGGGAGTGAAAAACGGGATCTGGCCGATACTCTACAGTTAACAGAAAGTCAAACTTCTATTGGTAAGATCGGCTTTGGAACTCTTCGCTGGCTGCTGAAGATGAGGACTGCCTAAAATAAGTTCACATAAAAAGTACAATATAAGCTGTTGAATATGAATCATGTTCGTATCATTATTTTATCGGCGACCTGGGCACCCATTTGCTCGCTGGTAGACGACTTCGTCGCCGGTCAGGCCAGTACTTCGGTCTGTCTCCTTTGATAGCATGAACACTGCAGGAGACCTTTTCAGGACTTTTGGTGGCTTGCAGTGATAAGCTATTTCATTTGGCGCACATAACCTAGTCACAATTATAACCTTAAGCTCCCCCTTCGGGGATACTGGTTGAACGCGACGATTTTTTTTTTTTAACAAATCACCTACCTATTAGTCATGTCCATATTCCATAGCTGTTTAACCATCTATATACGCCCGGATCTCTAGCGGAATTGGCTAAACCGGATTTCGCGGAGACCGGGTGACGTACTCCTTGTGGTCCGGGTTCAATCGGTATTTACAATGGAATCAGGGCGGAAAGGTTGCGATATCCATAATACCGAGCCTAAGGGTTAACAACTCATGGCTTCTGGATACTAAAACAAACAAACCATCTATATAAATGAGATACGTTGTTAATGATAACACCATTTTACAGTGATATCTATTTATCCTTGCACATTTGTTCCTGAAGCTAGGATCCGTCGTCATCTGAAGGCACAGGTTGGGTCTCCAGTGTGATAACAAAATCTTCTTCTTCTTCTTCGCGTTCACCAGCTGTACACTCTGGCGGAAGGTTCTGGTTGCTCGTCCACTACTGAACTGCAGTCCTGCTCCAGAACCTGAGTGTTGTGTGTGCATCAGTTTTACAGATCTCATTCTCTTGAATGCAGACTGTCGGTTCCTTGCCACTCCGGCATATGCACTCCGACTTCAAAGGAAGCTCCCCAATTAGTCGACTCTTACGACATGCTTTTGGGGAGGCAGTGGGTCTATTCTTGTTTTCCCCACAATGGGGCCCCGGAACCCACACGGGGGTGATAACAAAATGTTTGCTATTGTCTTTTGTTTTTTAATTATTATACTCTATTCTTCCTGCAGCGGCGTTGTGGCTAAGGCGTTGCGAGTCAGTCTGGAAATCCAACATACCAAGATCGAAACCAACTGCTGGCTGCGTGGATTTTTATCGTAGTATGGGGCGTCGCAGGTCGACCCAGCCTAAAATAGGTACCAGTTTGGCTGTCCTGGGGAAGTAAAGACGGACGGCCTAATGCTGACCAACCACATTACCCATCCAATGCCGATTGGTCTGTAAAAATATGGAACGCTCTGCCCATATACCCGATGCGCCTTAGGCGTATTAAGAGATCTTTATTTTTACTTACTTTTATTCTTCCTGCATTTATTAAAATCGGTATAATCTTTTTGTCACAGAATATGCGTGTGAAGTATTTTTTTTTTTTATGGATGCAAATGCGGGACAAATAAGTTAAGAAAACTATTCCAGTACTAAGCGACTCGCCATGCGCTTTTTATAGTCGGATGGTAGATGCTTGAAAAAATGTCGATTCAGCTGCCCACAGAATTTTAAGTATTGTTCTGAAAAAATGGAACCCTCAGGCCTTAAGACATTTCTTGGCTTGTCTTCTAAATATTTAGGATTAGCAATCAAAGACTACTATTTTGTTAAATAGTTTATACTACTATTGTGTCAGGGAGTCGAAGTGGCGGAGCGGCTAGACGCTCGCCGCGGATAGGAAGGTTATGAATTCGCTCCCTGGTGGAGCCAAACTTTTTCCAAAAATGACCTGGCTCACAGGTTGACCCAGCCCTGAGTGTGTACCTGGTGCAGTCCCAGGAAGTAAAGGCGACCGACGTGATGCTGACCACATCACCCATCTATAAAATATAGGTCTAGCCCTATTTACCATATACGCCTAAAGGCGTAGAGAACAGTGCTTCACTTTTTTGGTACTATTATGTCAAATAGTGTATATATGTATATATATATATACACACACACACACATAAAGACACATAAGTTTGAACATAATGCCTGTTGTTGAACGTACACGATAATCCACGAGGACCGCACAGGAAATCACCAATAGAGAGCGCAAGTTGTAGCCTGTCTCTCGTTTCTTCATCACAGTGATCCAGTTTTGATCGAACACATCCTTCAACTTCTGGCTTCAGTCTGTGAATATATTCAAGGTCATCATCATTATCATTATCATCATCATCAGATTCATCAACATCATCAGTATTTTCATCATCAACAACATTGTCATCATCACTATCATCATTGTCATCATCATTATTATCATCATTATCATCATTATTATCATCATCATTATCATCATTGTTATCATCACTATCATCATTGTCATCATTGTCATCATCATTATCATCATTATCATCATCATTATCATCATCATTATCATCATCATTATCATCATCATCAGATTCATCACATCATCAGTATTTTCATCATCAACAACATTGTCATCATAACTATCATCATTGTCATCATCATTATCATCATTATTATCATCATTATCATCATCATTATCATCATCATTATCATCAACATTATCATCATTGTTATCATCACTATCATCATTGTCATCATCACTATCGTCATTGTCATCATCATTATCATCATTATCGTCATTGTCATCATCATTATCATCATTATCATCATTGTCATCATCACTATCGTGATCGTTGAAGTGAATCTGAGCAGTTGGCAGCGTTGGGAGTTGAGGGGGGGGGGGGGGTGTGGGGGTTATTTATGTGGAGACAAATGGCTGAGCCGACGATGGAATTAATCAAGTAACAGAAAGTATCGTGAACGGCACTCATAGAAAGAAGTAGAAAGATAGAAGAACACACTAGACAATTGTGAACGGCACTCATAGAAAGAAGTAGAAAGATAGAAGAACACACTAGACAAATGATGGACGATGGAAACTTGTTGAGAGAGTGCAGGACAATAAACTGCCTCTCCATACGACACTTGACAGCAACAGTGCCATAAAGCGCACAAGCATTCAATAATTTCTTTCGAAACTCAGAATTTTTGGTTTTAGAATTATGTTGTTCATATAGTTATGTGGATTGGTCTCGATTAGGTCTAGGTAAGAGGTGGTCCTCGACTTTTTCAAAACTTCTTCGTTACCATTTTTTTTTTTTTAACTGGCCGGTAAATGTCCTTCTTCCTCTTCTTCTTTTCTTCCACCTTGTACCTCAGCGAAGTGTCGGGGTGACATGTAACATTCGTTGATGAGTTCTGTCAAGAGCACTAGCAAGACTGATTTTCATTTCTGTAAAGCCGTTCTTGATACGATCAGTCCATATTTTCCGAGGTCTTCCACCCGTTCTATACCCGTTGTAACGTTTTAGTGTGGCTCACTATGGCAGATAATACCAGGGCATTCTTATTTTGGTAATTTTGTTAATATTTTTTTTAAATCTCTGTTGTCACAATTTTACGTTCATTGGAGGATGTAAGTGTCCACGTTTGGCATTGATAGGATAAAAGACAGTTTTGATAAGATTCACTTTAGTACACCTCACTCAAAAATGAAAGCTAAATTTTAGAAAAGTTAGTTGCGTATCCCTTAGAGGACACTGCAGAACCAACCACAGCATTTTTTGGCTGTCATGATTTTTCTAGGCAAATTTAGGTCTAGTAGTTTGCCATTGTTTTTTGGATGGTCGGCTTTTTATAACCACTGTCAAAACCAACGCAAGGCTCAGGGATCGCAGCTGGGATCGAACTCGGCACCCCGGCATTACAAAGCGCGTTTGCAACACCTAAGCCACAGACGCGGAAACTTGAGGAAACAAATTATAAATACTTACTGGCAAATGTCGTCAATTTTTCTGACAATTTCGCGATAGTCGGTGGATCGCACATGACTAAGTCTTGGATTATCCCTCACGGGCACCAGACATTCTTGCAGCTGGTCAGAACAACTATCGGACGGGTCGCGTTTAAGTAATAGCGGGATCAAACATTCTGAAAAAGAGCGAATGCGTACACTGTCAGAACGTGTGTGTGTTTGTGCGTGCCGTTGTATTCCACATTCTCATTGTGTGTGTGTGTGTATACGTGTGTGCCATTGCATTTTACATTCTCATTGTGTGTGTGTGTGTGTGTGTGTGTGTGTGTGTATACGTGTGTGCCATTGCATTTAACATTTACATTGTGTGTGTGTGTGTATACGTGTGTGCCATTGCATTTTACATTTACATTGTGTGTGTGTGAGTATACGTGTGTGCCGTTGTGTTTCACATTCTCATTGTGTGTGTGTGTGCCGCTGCATTCTACATTCTCATTGTGTGTGTGTGTGTTTGTGTGTGTGTGTGTGTGCCGTTGTATTCCACATTCTCATTGTGTGTGCGTGCTGTTGTATTCCACATTCTCATTGTGTGTGTGTGTCTGTGTGTGCCATTGCATTCCACATTCGCATTGTGTGTGTGTGTCTGTGTGTATGTGCCGTTGCATTCTACATTCTCATTGTGTGTGTGTGTGTGTGTGTGTGCCGTTGTATTCCACATTCTCATTGTGTGTGTGTGTCTGTGTGTGCCATTGCATTCCACATTCGCATTGTGTGTGTGTGTCTGTGTGTATGTGCCGTTGCATTCTACATTCTCATTGTGTGTGTGTTTCTCTATGTGTGTGTCGTTGCATACCACATTCTCGTTGCCTCTGTGTATATGTGTGTGTCGTTGCACTCCACATTTTCGTTGCCCCTGTGTATACGTGTGTGCCGTTGCATTCCACTCTCTCTTTGTGTGTGTGTGTGTGTGTGTGTGTGTGTGTGTGTGTGTGGGTGTGGGTGTGTGTGTGTACATTTGTGCTGTTGTATTCCACATTCTCATTTTGTGTGCGTATTTGTAAATGTGTGTGTGAGAGAGGAGGAGGGTGTTTGGTGAAAGGGGGTGGGGGAGATACTTGTTCTTGCTAGTATATTTACAGTTCCAGTTACCAACCACTAAATTTCCTAGACTCAATCGTTTTTTTCGATAAACTGGGAAGTCATCTCAAGGTCTCTTAGGTTTTCCCCAAAGGAAGCTACTGGGTGTGACCACACGCAGCTCCGCCATGTTCTAGAATATGTTCAGCACAAAGACAATTACAGAAAGCTGTTGGGTCATATCTAATTTATACGAGCGTTTGTTGAGTCTGAGTTGCAAATGCGTTAGTGAAAAATTGTAACTTGGTCTGTTCTGTGCAGTAGGGTTGAGGAAATCATCTGCATGGTTATAAACTGTGGATCAACTTCAGGGTAATAAACTGTGGATCATCTTCATAGTTATAAACTGTGGATCACCTTCATGGTTATAAACTGTGGATCAACCTCATAGTTATAAACTGTGGATCATCTTCATGGTTATAAACTGTGGATCACCTTCATGGTTATAAACTGTGGATCATCTTCATAGTTATAAACTGTGGATCATCTTCATGGTTATAAACTGTGGATCATCTTCATAGTTGTAAACTGTGGATCATCTTCATGGTTATAAACTGTGGATCACCTTCATGGTTATAAACTGTGGATCAACTTCAGGGTTATAAACTGTGGATCACCTTCATGGTTATAAACTGTGGATCATCTTCATAGTTATAAACTGTGGATCATCTTCATGGTTATAAACTGTGGATCATCTTCATAGTTATAAACTGTGGATCATCTTCATGGTTATAAACTGTGGATCAACCTCATAGTTATAAACTGTGGATCATCTTCATGGTTATAAACTGTGGATCAACCTCATAGTTATAAACTGTGGATCAACTTCATATTTATAAACTGTGGATCAACTTCATATTTATAAACTGTGGATCCCTTTCATGGTTATAAACTGTGGATCATCTACATGGGTATAAACTGTGGCAGCTTACTGATATACATACTCACAAACATGTACACTCACAAATACACGTTTATACAATGTTACCAACCAACTTTTCCTCTTTAAAGACTGTAGAATTGTCGGCGCCTGAAGCTTAGTCGCTACGAATGCGCTTAGTAATGCTTGAGTTGATTGTTCAATCCTAGCTGCATGCAATTTAGCAGCAGACTTTCTTGTGTTGGTTTCGACAGTGGCATCGGGAGCCCATTGTCAGAAAGCAATGGCAAACTACAGAACGTAAAACTTGTCAAGAAAAACCACAACAGCCAAATAAAATGGAGTTGGTTCTGAAACGTCCTAAAAGGGTAAACAACTTAAGACAAGAATAACATCGTGCAACAGGAAAGCATGCGAATCCGAGCACATGGCGATGGCGAATGCGAGTAAACAAACCAGCTTCATCAAAAAGCAATCTTTGCATTTAGTGCACGGGAGTTTAGGACATAACTGTCATCGTGTTCTTAAATTTTCCCTCTCAAACACAATATATTTCTGATACTATTGACCTCTATCGTTAACCCCGACCTCACAGTGTTATCGTTTCTTACAATATTCTGGATCTATGGCAACATGTTGTAAGTAATAAATACTATCTTTCATGCCCTATTGCACACAAGCAAAGACGGATGCATGCTAGTGGGACTCGGTACATCCGTAAGCAACCGTCAGTCTCTAGAGATCATGAAGCTGTGCTGATGGGTGGGGGAAGGGTGCCTGCTGTGACTGGGAAGTCCTATGCAGAAGTGGCAGACTTTGCCATTTAGACCACCTTAAAAAGTTAAAACTCTATTATATTGAACTTGGTTTTCTCTCAGACGTCTCAGGTCTATAGCCTACTGCCTTAGGATTTCTGCTAAGTGCGACAGTCCTTCTATCGTTGTCTGCCTCCATGTAAGTCGGTCTGCAGCTGATCAGTCCCATGTGTCTGTGTCAATGTTGGCATCTTACAGATCCTATTTACGTAAATCATTATAGCTTAGTGTTGATATTCCTTTAGACATTCTCGTTATCTTCACTTCACTGTACATTTAGAAAACGAACAACCAATTTGCGAAAAAACTGACCGAACCAGCGCCGGCGTGTTTGGAACAGTAGAACGTATATCGTTAGTATTCACAATCATTTTGACAAAAATTCCTATGTTATACTAAGAATGCGTCTCATACAGCGCTTGTGAAAGCATCCAGTCTTTTATCTTGAGGAGAATACAGAGTTAGGAACCCTGATGATTAAAGGGTCACTAAGCAGAATTTTTTTAGATTTATGACAAAAATATTATTTTTGCAATGTGTTCGTTTTTTTTTTTTTCAAGTTCGGCATTCGTAGAATAGACTACACACACGTTGTATGTCATTTGTAAACAATTTAGCATTGAAAAGTTAATGCTAAACACCACCCCATGCACTTTTTAAAGATAAAAAAAAAAGTTTAACAGTCAGTTTTCTCACAATTCTATTTTTCAGTTTATTTTGTGTGTACAATTCTGGAAGCTCAGCTCATCCACAAAGACTAGGAACATGAAATTTAAAATGGATACTCCTTAAACAATATTTTAAGGACATGTTTATTCAAAAGTAGATTTTATAAACTTTCTTATTTTTAAATTTGATTATTGTCTTATAATGCAACATTTTGTTTACCTTTTCAACAAACCTACATTTCAAAATTCTAAGAAAAATTTTAGAAACATCTTTAAAGTAAATAAACTACACCTGTGCCTCAACATATGATTAAAGTCCATGATTGCATCAACTATTTCTCGAAACCTATGTTTGTTTTTAAAAATGTAGGATTCTAAGCACATTTCCTCCCCCCCCCCCACCCTATTCCCCAAGATGACGGCTTTTGCCATGGCAACCATGAATTTTTTAAAACCTAAAGATTGCAAATGTACCCCTACAAATGACTATTATAAAATAATTGGTTTAACACTTCAAATATAAAATGATTAAGAAAGTTAGAATACCTGTCGTTGCAAAGATGGTAGCAAGAACAAAAACAACTTCTTTGGCGGCTTCCATTTTAGTTGCTCCAAATTACTTTATGCGTACAATCCATCTGTACATAAAAAAAAAACATACAAATAATTAGAAGAAAAAAATATATATTAAAAAAAAAAAAAAAGAATAATGAGGCAATTAATCAATAGCAAAGTGAATAGGGGCCCACCCTCCACCCCCCCCCCCCACCACCCCCTTTACCCCTTTACCCCTTTAAAACAACAACAAATTAAATAAAAATAAAATAGATAAAATACATCAACGTGTAGTACGTATTTCAACAGTCACTCTGGTGTGTGTGTGTGTGTGGGGGGGGGGGGGTGTATGTGTGTCTGTGAGTGATCACACACTATTACTCAATTTCTTTGATCATTGTCCTTTCTTTAACTCATCCGATTTAATGGTTATCAGTTTCTTCACAGACACACATATATATATATATATATATATATATACCAACACTTCAACACGCACACACATATATATGTAAATATATATATACACACATATACAAACACTCTGCAAGAGAAGTGTATGTTTTTATTTAATGACTTTGTAAACCGATAATAAATCTTTAATGTGAAATTTCCCCCAGAAACATTAATATAACACACAGTATTCTATCTTACAGTCATAAAGTCTTACAAAGCATAAAATGCTACGCATATGATTAAATTAAATCGAACAAGGAATATTTAAATTAGCCATAAACAAGACACATCTATAGCCCATACAGTTTCTGACTTTTATTTGATTGTGAGACTGTTAATAAAAAAAAATTGATGCATCCAATATAATATAATTCAGCGTAATGGGACATAACAGCAGCTGGAACCAACGAATGATTGGTTCGGTCAAATGGCAAACAGGCATCATTTATGACATTAGTAATGTCAATTGTCATTAATGATATTTATCGGTCCAGCAAAGTGTCTCTATTTGTGTGGCGCGGATGTCTGATATAGAGAGTATTCATCATCTCCTTGTGATATGCAATTGTGTGTTATTTTAAAGTCCCACTCTGGGTCTGGTCAGGGGAGGCAATATAGCCCGGCCAAAAATATGGTCTACTGGCTGAACGAGGTTTCCGGGACCTGTCCACTCCAAGGGTGATCCTCATCCACATGGTGGCACTTTGTGTCATCGGGTGTTTTTAGCTTATGTGATGTCCTCGTGGGGTAAAATATACTACCACTGCTATAGATCGACAACAAGAGAGGCGATGCATCTGAGGAGTGACAATTCATGGCGAGAAATATTTTTAAATGAACTGTATATTTATTTCCACCTCTTTTTTTTCTGCTGACGGAAATTGACTTAGGCGTCATAATTTCCCCCCCCCCCCCCTTTTTTTTTCCTCCCCCTCCCTTAACGTAAAAAAAAAAGAGTTACAGTGCAAATGTTAAAAAGTTTCGGGAATAGAGACGCACCTTACCACTGAAAAGCAATTGACCGAGCCGACATTGTCAGTGCTCTCAATGTGACAGAACGAGAAGATGATTCACGAGACTACGACATTAAATAGACTAAAAGAACTTCAGGTTAAAAAGAAAAAGGTGAAAATAACACTATACAGGTAGCCAACAAAGATTAGTAAACCAATACAGAACTGGTGTCATCAGTCCCCACACGCTGGGGGATCTACTGAAGATAGGATCCGTGTGCTCGTGGACCTGTTCTATGAGCAGTAAGGTAATCTGTTGATTAATTACCTAAACAACACAGAAAAGCTACCTGTGGACCTCAGGCAATACCCCCTCCTCCAACCTCAAGTAAGTATAG